CCTCGTCCAAAACACATCGATACTCAAAGACTGTTTGACATAAGCTTTCATTTTTATTAGGGTTATTTGTCGATATATTCTGTTGACTGTGCTATATCCTCAATTTGATTTGATTATTTTTACGGGATTAATTTGGTTTTGATCATTTGTTCAAGTATTGAAACAATGCCACCTTGTGAATGAAATACCAGTCCATGTTAAAAAGAGCTCTCATATCTGGTGAGATTGTTTGCTATAATGTGAAGTTGATCATGTTATATTGACTAAATTTACGGGTGAAATGGTTTGGAGTATTGTGACAGAGCACCTTGTGAACGAAACTCCTCTTAGACAATTTCACTGAAAGCTCTCATACGTAGTACTATTGTTTGGCATCATGATTAGTTGGTCATATAGGACCGACAATTTGATTTAACAATTTTAACGGTTTTAAGGGACTTTGACCATTAGTTGGAGTATTGGAACAACGCCTTGTGTACACAACTGCTCTGAGGCCATTTAACAGAAATTCGTTTTTTGTAATTTTGAATTAATATTTTTCTGGACATAGAATTAATAATATTTAATCAACAACTGGGGTAGAGCATACATTCATGTCTAGCATAGATTAGGAACACTCATACTATTTTCATCAAAGCGCCAAGATGAGTCAATTGTAGACAAAATGATCTCTCTCGTACCAAATTATAAGCCTGATATCTTTTATGAGGTTTTCCATGATAACACAACCCTATATTATACCCCGTATACTAAACCAAAGATTTTAAGTGGTCAAGTTGAAATATTCCCTTCTCAGTTTTATGGGCGCCATTATGAGTTGGTTTATCGCTGTGAAATATCTGTGTCACAGATATGTATCACTTGTCGTAGGCATTCTGCCGAAATTATGACATTACCGAATGAGACTTCCCAACGTATTTTTCACCTAATATTAGCAACACGACGGGTGCCCCATTTTGAGCCGAAATGCTTATTATTGCCGAGCACCTATTAAAACTCCGGGTTTTCGGTGGGGTTCATGTTGCTTATTGTTAGTTTTATATGTAGTATGTTGTAAATTGTTGTTTGTTTTTTTGCATCGTTTTTCGTTTTTTTTTTTTGCCGTTCTTTTGCCTCTCTCCGAATTTAAAAAAAAACTATTTTGAAGCATAGTGTTCCTTTTGAATTAGCGACAAAGTACGTAGGCGGTATAATTAGAGGCATTAGTTTGCAAAATTGTAAACTTATTTAAGCCTTTCAACATTATGTTATTAGTAATTGTATTGATAAATAACAGAATGATTTAATATGGACACGTAAGTACAGAAAGGGTCTCTTGTGATGTTACTATGATGTCATAAAGACATCGAAAATATGTATGAGCAACAGCTTTACCCAAAAATATATTGTACACGCATTAAAATCTTTGTAAACTCTATTTTGAAGCAAATTTGTTTCGGGGTAAAGCTGTTGCTCATATCTATATATTATTGACAAGATGAGGCTATTTTGACAGTCTTCGCGGTCATTCGCTAAATGTAAAACGTTTAAAGCAATGGTGCAAATATATAAGACAAAATTTAAAAATATAAATACTTATGTCGTATCAACATAGTAAGATTTTTATTTGGTAGATTTATAACACTTTTTTATTTTTCGAATTCAAAGGGCAAGCAAAAAATGGCCTAATCACACTTTCGTTTTTGCTCTAGGCTATTGATTACTTTGATGGTACCCATACGTTACACACACAGAGAGGAGGTTTGTACACAAATAAGTTTTCTATATTGTGTTTCTTCTGTTGTAATATTGTGAACAGTATGGTGGAAGAAATGTTTGCTGAGGAAACCTTGTTTGTTTATTATTGATGCATCGACCATTTGCAAATAGAATTATAAATTTGCTGGCAGATATAATTTTAATTAATTATTAAGTAGTTTTTTAAGAGTTGATAGAAATATTTCTATTAAATTTGTAATGGAAAAAGAGTGTATGCTATACCGTGGAAGCAAGTTTTTATTGTTTGAGAAAGCCGAAGGTCCCGGAGAATTACCTAACTTTGGCAGGAAAACTAGCGGTTCTAGTCAATTAAGATTGGAGTCAAACGCACCTGCTACGTACATGAATCAACTCACAACCTTGGCGTTAACCAGCTATTTATACTGTAGATTAACTAATCAGACCAATTGGGTACCAATGATCCTATCTGAAACCTACTGTTGGCTAAATTAAACAGATCAAAACGTACATCCCTATCATTTACATTCGAATAAAATTTGCCGCAAACTGCAAATTGTCAATACCTTGTCGATATAGTTGCTGTATGAACTAACAATACTTGGTCTTTCATATGCAGTGGGAAAAAAGATATCCTGAGAGTCTGCATACTTTGAAGGCGAAGTTTTGTCCAATTTATCAAACATGTGTCCATCCAGTAATGGTGTTGTATAATAACCTGAAAATCATTAACAGAAAAGACAAAGTGGTCGTAAGTATGCAAGATTCACTCATGTACCTTTCATTTCGACGATTTCCTAGCAACTGTTTTGAAATTTGTTTTTTGATTTCATTTTAGTTATAAGGTAATAAACAATACATTTGTATGGTTCTTTAGGTTCCCAGATAACTTTCACTTACCTATCATTTTGAACTTTGATTAAAAAAGTATTCTTATTCTTAAATAGCTGAAACTGTCATCACAGAAATGTGATTAAATAGCAGTTATGAAATAATTTGGGTAGATATATCTTTAAATTGAAATATAATTTAGTTATATATAGATTACAATTGTTCGTTGACCTTTTCACTAGGGCATGCATGCAATAAAAGAGAGGCGTAAGATACCAAAGGGAATTTCAAACACATAAGTCAAAAATAGACCGGCAACGCAATGGCTAAAAAAGAAAAAGACAAAGATCAAACAACAGTACACAAAACACAACATAGAAAACTAAAGACTGAGCAACACGAACTCCACTAAAAACTGGGGGGTTATCTTAGATGCTCCGGACGGGTAAACAGATCCTGCTCCACATGTGACACCCTTCGTGTTGCTCATGTTAGTACAAACCCGATAATAAGTTTAATTCGGTAGGTCACATTCGGGGAAAGGGGGACGGGAACAATAAGCATCAAATGAGTTTCTTAAAGGGTCGTGTATTTTCAGATCGGTTCGTTTTGTATTTTGTCCTCGTATTATTTTTTATTGTGCTTCGTGCCGTTGAGTGTAGCCTTTTCCAACTAATTTATACATTTTGTTTTTATATTGTGCTGTTGAACCACTGTCCCGTGTTAGACGGAGAGCTGACCGCTGACAACCATGTTTAACACTGCCACATGTTTTATGTGATTGTCCCAAGTCCGGGACCTGTAATAACTGAATTGCGTTGGTTTCCGTCTGCCATATTTGTTTTTGTATATTTTTATTTTAGCATACACCAGGCCAGTGCTTAACATTTTGTTAAGGCATCATAAAAACCATTGCTCATTCAAGAAGGCTGCACCATACTTAAGAGTTGTTAACCACCTTGTCCTTTTGGTCACTGGTGGATTGCAGCCTCATTATGATTTTTTTTTATCTTTTGGATTCATACCATATCTCAAAATATTCATAAAATGTTTTAATTTCCTCGATGTTTGTTCTCATATTACTTAATATATACCTTTCCTGTGAAGTATATAGTCTAAAACAGTCTCAGGATCCGTCAATTTTTTCACGTTGATATTCAGCGTCGTATTGATTGAATAAGGCATTGCAAGGATAGGGTGATTTTGTAAGTTGTTTCCAACGGGCAGATCAGCATGCACTGGAATCTATTTATAAACAAATAGAATGTTAATAAAATCAAATCTAGTTTTATAAATTGACTTATAAGGATTACCTTGATTGATTATTCACCTCTCTATTGCTTGTGAAAAATACAGTCCTTTCATCATGTTCATATTGCATTTGAAAGCCATACAATTGTGTCTTTAATTTACTCAGTTACGTTCGCATTCAAATTACAATCTAGTGTATTAGTCCTTTGATTGATTTTAAGGGTTAGATCAATATTAATAAACTCTTCCAAAAAGACTTCCATAGCAATTCCGTACGAAAGTATCACTTATCTCTTTTGAATATTCCATATTGTGTTTCGTAGCGTCGAAAAAGATTCGGCTAGACATTGTCATCTTTAATTGAGGATTATGATTCAATGAAACCAATACGATGAATACGTTATCATTTTAAATATTACTAGTTTTTGTTGGGGTTCGTGTTGATGAGTCTTTAGTTTTCTATGTTGTGTTTTGTGTACTGCTGTTTGTCTGTTTGTTTATTTGTCTTTTTCATTTTTAGCAATGGCGTTGTCAGTTTATTTTCGACTTATGAGTTTGAATGTCCCTTTGGTATCTTTCGCCTCTCTTGTTAATTATTTGTGATTTACACAAAAAATCCTGACTGGAGAGCTTCGTTGGCAATTTTTCATCATCTCACCAACAGATATTTTTTTTGTTTCCTGAAGATGAGATTCATTCAGACGATTCTTTTCTTTATAACTATTTTCCATTACTGTTAGTGCGAGATTGACCCATGTGATATTTACATGACTGTATTGATATACAGACTAAATTAAGGCAAGAATAGTTTACTGATGTTCATATCTCATTAATCGATTGAAAGGATAAAAACGTAGGTAACAAAATCGCATGAACTTCAAAAACAGAGAAACCGGTGTGTCGACAGGATACGCGGCGTCTCCTGGTATCAATGATTTAACCATGCTGCGATTCAACACTCGGTCACAATTTCACAATCTAGAATAAGACAAAATCGCTAAATAACAGATCAGACGACTTCCCTGGTATCTAAGTATCTAAGACCGCGAAAACATGTCGAATAAACCGTAAGTATTTCAATGATTATTATTAAAAATATGTCACTACATAGTACCGTTTTTATTTAGATAGATCGATAGCAAATTTTGAAAAAAAAAAATCTTATACATTGAAAAAGATGAATTAAAATAGAAAATACTTACCTTGAACTTTCGAAGATGCATTTTTGGCCCAACACCAGACAGAAGTAATATATGTGGTGAACCGAATGCTCCTGCAGACATGATGACTTCTTTACGAGCATAAACGTTATATGTTCGCCCTCCTTTCACAAATTGTACCCCAATAGCGCGTTTTCCACGAATAAGTACCTACAATCCAAAAGAACATTAATAAAAGTAAAATGCTCAAATTTGTGGAGGAGTAAAACATAGTTTGTTCATGTCTAAATAATATACATTTATGCTAAAATAATAAACTTAGAGAGTTATTTCTATAATTTCGTTTCTAAATTTGTCTTTCTTAGTTAAATGTACACTGTTAATTGACCAATTTTAAATGTCATAAAAAAACAGTAGATCATTCTAATGTGCAAATGATCATTGAAAAATACCTGTAAGCACTTATGTCTAAGCATATTATAATGTAAAAATAAGCCTAATTACGATACATTCATTTCCTACACAACGGGCGCCACATAGGGAGCAGGATCTGCTTACCCTTTCGGAGCACCTGAGATCACCCCCGGTTTTGGTAGGGTTTGTGTTGCTCAGTTTTTAGTTTTCTGTGTTGTGATTTGTATAGTGTTGTTTGTCTTTTTGTCTTTTCCTTTTTTTCTGCCATGGCGTTGTCAGTTTATTTTCGACTTATGTGTTCAAATGTCCCTTTGGTATTTTTCGCCTGATTTCTTACACAAATATCTATTACTAGTTTTACCTACCTTTGTAACATAGCTGTTTAAACTGATTTGTAAATTACGTCGGTACATAACAGGTCTAAGGTAGCATGTAGTTGAACTACAACGTTCACCGTTTTTTATATTTGCCTGATTTGGACAGTATCCTAAAAATGGTGAACATACGTGTATTGCACACCTTTATATGCAGCAAAAGGTGAATACAATGTGTATTAACTTTTATATATTAAATGATATATATTGATAGGCTTAATTAACGCAGTTTAAGGGTAAACATTTATATATGACAGATGAGTATGTATACATTTTTTTTTGTAAAACAAGAACAGAGGTAGACTATACATTTATTTCCCTTATCAACGCGAGATATGATTGGATATGCCCTCGGGAAATGTGAAATTTCTCGGGTGAACAACTATTCATATTTCCTCATGTTCCGTAAGCAATGGAAATTAATGTTTTACTCTACTACTTTTAATATATGAAAATTCAAATATTCTCCTGATTTTAGAAAGGAAATATAGGTTAAAAGGAACATACATTTTACGGTTACTGTTACAAATGTGTTGATCTAAACGATATGACATTTTTAGTGTCTCAACTCACTAGTGACATGTTTTGTTATCTTAGATCTGTAGATATTATTGTCGTTTGATCTGTAATGTTACCGTGTGTGTCCTATTTCCGATTATAACATGTTGACGGGATGTGGATTTTCGTAGCCGGTGATGCACGCATATCGGGAGACGCTTACTTTGTCGACGCACCAGTTATGGCTCCTTTTAGTGTCCATGCAATTCCCTCAGTATGTGTTAGTTACATTGATATTCTATTTTAAGCACTATTGGTTTTTGTAGAGGCCAGTTTTTATTGGCCACAGAACAACTGACCTTCGGCAGGAAAACTTGCAATTCTAGTCAATTAAGATTTAAGATTGGATACGAACGCACCTGCCACGTGCGGGGTCTCTTATAAATCGATTTTCGGGATTTTAACCTCGATATACTATCGTCATCGTAATCTATTACTACATGATCTTGATATAATACTAATGATTACTTGCTTATTATTTAAGAAAAGTCTTGTTTTTCTGTTTTTGTTATACGCCTGAAATAAGCTTAACACAATGGTTACAATGTTTTGCTAAGTAAATAGTTTTGGAACTTGATAACAACGCGAAAAATAGAGGACATTCGATTGACAGAGGTGAATATGATATATTGTTAACTCACCTCCACCATACTTTGTATTATGTGTATATCGTTTTGTTTTAGGCTTCGGTGGCCGATTGGTCTAAGTAGTGTGTCAATAGCCTGTCAACACTGAGGTTACGAACGAATTTGGATTCCGCAAATGGTAGGTGCGCTCGACTCATATCTTATTTGACTTGGATTGTCATTTTTCCTACCGAAGGTCTGAGGTTCTCTCATGGTACTCCTGCTTCCTCCACCGATAAAAATTTACCGCCACGAAATAGCCCCGTAGTGCTGTTTTTGTTGTTGTTGTTCTATGTCATGTGGAAATTCTAAACATATTTATGAAGATATACTTATATATCTCTGGTACGACAAATCGTAGTTTATAAAATCTGCAGTTGCTTTCTGTAATCCAGGTTATTCTTCTTATAAATTTGACATCATAGTTAACTTTTTTTAAATTTGTAGCATGCCATATTAATATTTACTTGGAATTAATAAATAGCCTCAATGAAATGGTACTAAATAGTTTTTGAATGACTTATAAGGCAATATTATAATTTGACCATGCCTTCTATAAATCATAATATACATTTGTATGAAATTAGCAGACGATATGTAGTATTCAAGAATGCATGAATTCGGAAATAGGTGTATGTAAAACATATTCTTTGAAGTAGTTAACAAGAAGATAAGACAACTTTCTCTTTAATAATGGCATTAAGGCTTGTAATTTTGCACATTCTACTAAGGAATAGTACTGTTTTATTGATATCTTAAACATTTTGATGAAAAAAAAGGAAATTTTTGAAGTTCTTTTCAAGATAGATGTTGTTTTAATAAGAACAATATATTGACAGTAAACACCTTGCCATTGACACTAGTGTTAATTGTACCTATTTGGCTGTATCCATTGCAATCAACAGAACGGTAACCAATTTCCGAAGCAGCTTTCCGATTGAAAAATTCTAAAGTTGTGCTAGACTTAGGTGTCACAACTATTTTTCCTTTTGTGCCTCTATAAGCTGAAAGTATAATTACATGCTTTATGACTAAAAATATTTTATAACATCGTTCATAAAAACATATGCCCACAAAGGAAGTATATTACCTCTCAAAAACACATTCCAAAGTTCAATTGGCTTAGCCATTAAACATTACTTTTATAGAAAATCGTTTATAATATGAAGTAGGCAATACATACTTTACCTTAAATGATTCATGTCTATAGAGTAATGTTTGGTCCTGCTATTTTAGCCCGGTAACTGACAAAATAGGTCTTTTAATTACCGTTAACATTTTAAAATAATTTGCCTAAATGTTTCCCGAGTCGAAATGAAATAAGAGACCGTAAACGGCACCATCAAATAAGGGTGCCACATGTAGAGCAGGATCTGCTTACCCTTCCGGAGCACCTGAGATCACCCCCAGTTTTTAGTGGGGTTCGTGTTGCTTAGTCTTTAGTTTTCTATGTTGTGTCATCTGTACTATTATTTGTCTGTTTGTCTTTTTATTTTTGGCCATGACGTTGTCAGGTTGTTTTCGATCTATGAGTTTGACTGTCCCTCTGGTATCTTTCGTCCCTCTTTTACTCTTCTAGTTAATTAAAAATTTCACTATTTTGTTTTGGAATTTATACAAACAGTATACAATTTACGTGAATATTGAAAAAAAACATAAAACAATGTGTATGTCCACCTCTGCAGTTAAATTGTAGGGTGAAGTTTTTATTCATGTTTGCCCGTTAGCAAGCACATGACTGCTTATGATACGTGCACGCGATTTATTGTCTGCATTCCTTATGTGTCTATGTACGTGTTACATATTACCGTGGTTCATCCGAAGTTTGATTTTTGTCCTTGTGACTTGAAATGCTGTATAATTCAGACGGTGCTCTTTCAAAAGTGTATATACACCCAGTTATCGTACTTACGTGAACCCGATAGTGCCGGTATTTTCATTGTTTCCATCTTTTTGAAGTAGGGTAAAACTTCCTTGTAGCTCCAACCCTTACATCCTTGTTTTGCCCACTCATCATAATCATGGCGACTACCTCTGATCACAACCATACTATTCATACTCCCGCATCCTCCTAACATCTTACCACTAGCCAAATATATTTGCTGTCAAATTTGATATATATATAAAGAGTGTACCATTGAAGTTAGTTTAATGAGTTAAGATATGTAATAAAACAAAAAAATGTATGGGTCAACCAATTTGTTTTTTTGGCCGTAAAACTTATCAAGCGTCTATTTCAGTTGTTCTTCTTTATAAGTTAGAGGAAAAACAAGTCTGCCGATGTTCGAAAATCATTTGAGCAAATACAAATCAAAGTTTAAAGCTTAACCTGAGGGAATTGCATGCACTACCAACCGAGCTAGACCGGATGCTTATCCTACTAAAAGAGATTTTTTATGTTAGGATCACATCTGTGTTTATGAAGTATGTATAATGTGCACATTCACGAGTTCAATTGACATATTATTAACCCTATACGATGGCACGGAGGGTATTTTACTACTAGGAAAAGGGGAGTTGAGTTGACAGTCAGAAAGCTGAAATCGTCACGTTTGTCATAGATCCTGATGTGGAGTCGTCCGTCTGTGACAAAACAAGAAAACATTAAAAATCGTTACTAGTGCCGAAAGTATACTTTATTTCGAGGGCACTGTGATATTATAGATGCAAGCACTCGCTGAAATGATGGATGTTAAAAAGCAGAACATCATCAATATACATAAAGGTTGATGAAAAGAACTTAACAAGATACCTCTACTTTTTTTCTTTGAGAAGGCTTGGTATGAATTGTGCGTCGTATGAGTATAAAATTAAGTCTGAAGGATTGCACAATTAGTATCCATTACAACCTGTGCAATACAAACTTAAATATATATTCACGAAATACAACAGATATGTTGTATATTAGAAAGGCCAGCATTTTGATGATATCATTTTCTGTGAATTTGTTGTTGAATGCGGCTTGGATCTTAACAAAGGAAGATTTTGCACTCCCTTAATTACCAAGCATTGGTTTCTACGAGTCCCATTTTTTTTCTGAATAACCAGACTGTTTAAAGATCATTCTATTTTGAATCGGGAATTGTGATGTAGAGCGTAGAAAAATCAATAGTTTCAATATAAGTAATATATTGCAAGTCAGACTTGATCGATTATCATTTACCATTATATAGTAGATCTTTAGATATATAAAACATCCACACCTGATTGACACAATGACAATTATACCAATCCTCACCATATTTTTGCGGCAATATTTTAATGTTAAAATAATGCAAATTAGAGCTTTCAAACGATGTTAAGTCGAACATTCTGACGAACAAGCTATGTATCGTTCACTGCAAGGATCCATGTAGCGTTTAGTAATTCAGTGGGAAGAAGGAATGTTTTCATTGTCCTTTGGATTTAAATACCAAAAAAAAAACTCATCAAAGACGTTACATGTGCGTTTCGTCTACAAAAGACTCATCAGTGACGCTCATATCAAAAAAATTAAAAAATCAAATAAAATACGAAGCGAAAGAGCATTAAGGGTCGAAATGCCGAAGGTTTTGCCTAATACAGCTTAGTCAATGACAAAAGGACGAATTAGTGATTTACTTAGTCAATGACAAAAGGACGAATTAGTGATTTACTTAAATCTCGTTTTTCATAAATGATGTTGGCGTAAAGGTGGGATTAATTGAATGGCTGTAAATTGCACGTTCATTTTACGAAATCCTACTAATGATTCTTGCATATACAATACTATGCCTGGAGGCTTTGTCTGTATGAACAATAACATACAACCTCGTGCATCATAAAAGCATAAAAAACCCGTGTGCTCATGATTGATATTACTTTTTCAATTCGATTCTGAATGCATAATCAAACAAACCAGATCCTTAAGATAAAATGTTCAGTTAAGGATCAAATAGCTCGAGCTTAAAACTTCGACTAGATCCATCTGTTATCTGAAATTATTCTTCTAGTTTATAGGCTGGGGAATTTAAAATTTTTGACATTTTGCTAACAACTCTCTAAGCTGTTTATTGTTACAATGCAAAGGACCCGGCAAAGGTAAAGTAATCAATAGTTAAAAGTTAATATAAATTTAATATAAACATATCGTAATTACCTTGTTCTCCATAGCAAAAGATGAATATTTCTGTGGAACGCTATGATAATTCCAGTCTTGCTTAGTCCTTAATAGATTTCCCGATGCCCCTGGTATAACAGTGGCTTCGTTTTCCAAATCAGATCCACCAGCTTCTAAAAGCAAGACAGATGTTTTGTCCTCTGTCAGACGTGCAGCAAGCACAGACCCTGCAGAACCACCGCCAACTTCAATCAAAAAGAAATTCATTGTCATGCGTCATGTGCATACTACCGGGAACCATGGCTATAGCGTTTCGATTGACAACTGCAAAGGTAACTTGCAAGTAGTTGGGACTGTTAAATTCGTCGATTTAAATTATTGCTTTTTATCCTTTATACTACAGAAATACCCATATTACTAATGCGTATATAGTTGTCACTGAACAGAAAATAATTTCAACTACGCAACATCTTGTTAATTTTACAATTTCCGATTTTTTTTGGAAAATAGTCTTTTGCAGAATATTTGAATCCACATTATGATGTTGTTTGAACACAAACAGGCCAATAAAAGAGCACAAACTAACCCATTCTGAATATTGTTGCGATTTGGGGAATCTTAGATCGAACTCCGATATTGACATAACTTGTTTGAAAATACTTTCCTTAAACGTTTGCAGTATAAAAAGACGAATACTATATCCTGAATTTATTGAACTTATAAATTCATATGATGGTATTTGCGTACAAGAGACATAAAAACCGTTGATTGCGATGAAATTTTCATTCTAGCTTATATTCAAGAGTTAAAAATTATACGGATATTAAATAACAGAAGATACGGAGGTTTAATCAAAGGCTTTTAAAAAACTTAACGGGAACACATCAAAACTATGAAAAGTAATAACAAATAGGTTTAAATTCTCTTCTGCTTTCAATTATCTAGATGTTGATGACTTTGTTGGCAATGTATACATTTCGCCAGAAAATACTCATTAAAGATCAGCCGATGCGTTCCGTGGAATTGAAAACAAACTATTAATTTGTTCGAGCGATTGATAATATATATGCTTCGCAGGGGACATTAACATGTTTATTAGCCGAATGGCAACCAGTCCGGGTTTTATACAAATAAATCTGAATTATATTATCGATGAGATCAATGATTAACAGCAAGATGATGAAGGCAAACTAGTAAGTCATAATATTCCTAAATTTGAGGTAATAAGGATAGAAATAAAAACAACTTTGGTTTTAACCTATTTGCTATATTACTTTAGAAAAATTTGATGTGTTCCCGTAAAGTTTATAATACTATACACAACTGTCATACACGTGGAAGTTTAAGCTAGCTATAAAATAAGGTTAAACCCACTATTTTCTTCGGAAATTGCCTGTACCAAGTCAGGAATATGGTAGTTGTTTGTAACTTGTTTCGCTGATTGGTAGCGTTTGATTTTGTCAGTTTTAATGGACTTCCTCTTTTTTAATTTGCCTTTTAGTTCAGTATTTGTGTTATACTTTTTTGGCAACTTGCAACTTGATATAAACATATTCAATTATCTGTTTATTATGAATGGTCGAATGGGTAAAAATTATATCACGGCAAATTAACAAGTAAAAATGAATGTGTGGTGGATTATTTCAAAGGAACACCCGTATTTCAAAAAAAGATTACTATTTCCGATGTCCTCGACACTGTCCATTAGAAATATCAATGATTTGAAATACATGTAGCATTTGACAACAGATCTGGAAGTGAAGAAAAGTTAATCAAATGGATCGGTGAAAGAAAGGATGCATTTGAAGCTAAAGTAGATGCTGTAAAACTATCTGCATTAGAAGAATCATTAACTTGTCCTTCTAAACAATAAAAGACAAAATATTATTAACATTAACATTAATATTGTTAACGAAATAGGCGATTTGCGTAAGGAAGCTGCTACTTTCACATTTGGTATAACAACCCCCCACACACACTCACACACGAAAGATGATAAATCCTTCAACGAAAAATTATAAACCTAGGTATGACTTGAATAGCAAAAAAAGAAAATGAGTTTTCAACAACAACAACAAACTTTCGAAGAAAACTTAAAAAGTTTGAATAACTTTAGAATTTATATGAGAGAAAGCATCAAAGATATGAAAACTAAAAGTTCTGAAGAATATCAAAATATCATGAATATTTTCAGTCGAGACTAAAAAAAGAAATCGCCTCAAATTCCAATCGAAATAGTGTGTGATTTCCTTAAAAACCTCAAATTTAATGACAGCGAAGACATACACGACCCTAGGAATCTAGCAAACGATACTACTGCTGAAACGAGATAGTGAATTCAGTTATAACAGCAGACGAAATAAAAGAAATTCATCTTGAAGTTATAGAATAATAAATCAAGCGGTGATGACAAAATCTTCAACGAATACCTCAAATTTATATCAGACCCATTTATTCACATTATCGTACTTCTATCAAATTTTATATTTGAGTCCGGGCACATACCAAATTCGTCGCTAACAGGAAACATACATCCGATTTTTAAAAATAAGGGAATCAACAAGATCCAAAAATTATAGACATTACTTTATTGAGCTGTTTTTTGACAAATTGTTCACTTCTGTAATATATGAAAGATTAACTAAATTCACCGATGAGCTTTTTATTTATCATCATCAGAGTTGATTTCAGATTGACCACTCGACTTTTGGTTATGTATTCATCCTTTACTTAATTTTAAACATAATGTCAAATCGAAAGAAAAGGCTTTACAGTGCATTCATTGATTTGCAACGGCCTTTGATACCATCTGGATAAATTGACTGCGATATAAACAAAAATCTCAACCACATAAATGGCAAAATGTATAAAGTAATAAGAAATATGTATGGTAACATCAAATCAAGAGTTATCTATAATAACGAAAAATCGGAATTCTTTCCATGCACCATCGGAGTTACCCAAGGAGAATATATATCTCCATTGTTATTTTCTTTATACATAATCAAAGATATGATAGACGTCTTATCCAGTAACAGGTTTCTTGCTGGCCATTTTCGCATTTTACGAAAAAAATCTAATTGTGCCGAAACAAATTATTATTGGATAAAGTTTTATGCAAAAGAATTATAGTTGTCCAATATCATCCATCTTTCTTTTGTTTGTTTTTTCGGGCCTCTCTGACTTTGTCTTTATCACGTCACACGTGTCGAATTAACAGAAATTCAATAATCAACTGATTGGAAAAAGGTACAAGCTATCAACAATAAACTTATCATTAAAAGATGTTGATTGTAATGTTTTATAAAATTGTGTAGACAAATGGCTTCAAATGTCACTTAAACCTACAACTTTTATAAAAAAAAATCCTTTGAAATTGGCACTTCGCAATCATACGTTACTCTTTTTTCGACCTCCGGAATAGATTACCATAGTTGTATTTGACAAAGCCTTTCGATATTTCGTATTCTCAATGATCTTCAACTTTATTTGCCGTTTTACCTTTTATGATTCGAGTCACTGATGAGTCTTTTGTTGACGAAACGCTCGTCTGGCGGACAGAAATTATAGCTTCGTATCTTTGCTGAGGTTTTTTTTACCACACATCTCAATATATTTATGTTCACATACCTATAATATAATCGTAGTACCGTCGTAATGATCTGTTAAACACGCCAGGTGGGTCTTTCGGTCCGGGCGGCAACACATTTTGCAGGACATTTATTATTGTAACACTGTTCAGAAGCGAATGCCCAAGGAACATGATAAAATTTCACCCTGAAAATAAACACGAATTCTTCATGTTTTCACACATTTAAAAAAATCAGCTTTTGCATTTTACGAAATAATGATTCATTTGTGCATCATTTCATTCATTCTTTTTCGTCCTTTAATGAAGGCTATATTCTGAATCAAATATTTAGTCCTCTTTGACTGTGACTAACCAGTACTTACATTACATTACATTACAGGCAGTTATATGAAAATTGTTTACTTTTATCTATTTGTGTGTACCACTTTGAACATTGGCCATTCCGTCGTGCATTGAAGAAGACCAACAGAAAAAGAGTTCGAAAAATGGAATTACCATTACATCTTATTAATTATCCGCTGTTAATCACCTAAGTTCTGAACTAACATTCAGTCATTAATTAATAGTCCATTATAATGCTATCTTTTATAATGAAGTTGCTTGCTTTTCAGGGCAGTTAAGCACTAGCTACAGTTCGTTAGTAGAGAGATGTTGATTTAAACTGTAATTTTTATCCATTCATACTTTAATATACTGGAACATACACATAAGTAAATCATGCAAAGTATTTCACGCAGATGTTTCAAATACAGTGATGTAAGTTAGATCGGGTACCTAAATTGATCTTGATTGTAAATTATTGCAAATGATGGGTCTTGATTGAAATTAGCAAAGCAAAGAGGAAGGTACGATTTGAGACCAAAGAAGTATGTTATAAAATTTCAGAATTTTAGAATTAATTGATTTATCTTTTTACTTGTATAACACATTATACATTATAGTTTTGGTTTAAAACATTCTCTTTTCTGTAAAGGACAGTTTATTCAATAACATTGAGCAAAGTCTGCCCTTTTGACCTGTGTACGCTAAGAAATAATAGAACAAAACATATATATCCAAAGTTTGTGTGTTTTATGTTTATCTATTCGATGGCCAAGCATTGTTTAAGGTGACGCCTATGCTCTATGTAGATTAAGCTTAAATGTTTAATAAAATAATAAAAACCTGACCATTTCTCCTATGACCTCACTTTAATGACGTCACAATCAAATTTGTAAGCAAGGTTGACCTAATTTTTAATGATAAAATGTTTATGATTTATCTTTACCAAAACAATTTTAAATAATAAGATAAAATGTTTTAATCAATTAAAAATTTTTAACTTTTCTATATCAGTGGAGCTACATTTGTAACTCAGATAATATGGTTTTATGGTGATTCCATTTTTATCTTTTACGTTTACTTCGCGAGCGTTCAAATAAGATATGATCTGTAAATCGACTGAATTTTCAATGACTTCATATTCTACAAAAATGCCTGATTATACCTAGATTGTAAATTGGATTTAACGACGGAGAAATATCTTAATATAACAAAACCTCTGAACAAAAATTAATATTTTGTTGGAAAGTAAGAGTAGAGAATTGGTTTCAAACTAAACTTCATTTGCTGTTGGTGATTTGATTATAATTAATTTTCTGTAAACTTAAGACCATTTAAATCTATATACATTTTTTATTCCAAAAATGAACATTCCCGATGTATAATCCTTTACATCATGTCGTCACAATATAACAAAATATAATGAAGGAAACAAATTACAATAAAGGAAAAACTAAATGGATATTGATTAAATTAGTTTTTACACTTTGACGAGATTGTAATAGTATGTATCGTTTGATTCAAATAATGAATTTAAAATTTTCAGTTTTGTTTTTGAATAGTTATCATTCAGCTTGACAATCCGCCGTACGATATGTCAGCGATATATCTCTCGTGTTAATCAACCAAATTATGATTTCGTCCAAACTAGTTCTGAGGAGATTATGTAAGCATTGCCACTCAAAAACATATGTATCAATATCTAACGTGTAAGTTACCGCTACCACACATAGATCTTGATGGCACTCACAAATCCTTGAATATCGTGTCAAGTCGGAAATATGCATGAAACACATGCTTTGATTCGTTGAATGGCATAACCCAGCTGTTTTCACTTCTCCAGTTGGACTCCAGAACCTATGTTTTTTTGACTGTTAGTAGAAATGGATGTGATGTCTCAACTAAATCTGCATTTTTCATTAATTCTTATGTCAAGCGGGATAGATAGGATCATAAACTATACTTAACTTTAAATTGTTTAAGTATTCAATAAATGATCATCATCTATATCCCATAGTTTGCAGAGAAGCCCTGTTTGAAGTACCTTAAAAGAATTATGGACCAAATCTAAAATATTGGGAGCTTAGTTTGTTACCACATAATGAGCTAAATATCTAACAATTGAAATTTCTAGATTTATTTATATTCCAACATTCCTTTTCTAAGTTTTAGAGTAGTTTTTTTATACTGTAATGTGTACCTCCAAAAAAACTAATCACAGATAAAAAAAAGACATTTTAATCTAAATTGGAAATTTTTCTTATGAATAAAAAATGCTAAAAGTATACTTTATGAATTAATATTTTATTCTTCTGATCCTGAGGAATTAATTATAGAACGTCTTTTTAGTTTGATTAATGTTTTTGTTTTAATAAATCCATACATGATTTCCTATTTAATCTCAATATATTACATTTATTAATGATCCTTAATAGGTCACAAAAAAGAGAAGTAAAGACAAAAAGTCAACAGCAACAATAACTATTTCATTCTTAAGCATTATTCGTGCAAGCTATCTAGATATAACATTTACCTATATGTCATAAAAAATATCTGACACGGAAAATAAATGTATAAACTGTAAAAGACATTGATCAATAAATGATCAAATGAAATAAGAAAGCAAATCCTACCGTAATTGCCTAAACAGATATTGTCCCTGCAGTGAAACCCCAGGGAAAATGTTAAGTATTTGTAGTGTTTAAAACGATTAGAATTACTTGCATGAATTTATAACATGTGATAAACAGTTATACGTTTTTTCCGTCTTAAAAAAATCGTTATAGATAGTGATGCATCGGAAAACATATATATGCACTTATACCACATCTTCTTATTTATATATATTATAGATAACTAGTATATGATTATTTTATGTTTGTTTGTAAGGTGCACGAAACAACAAACCTGTGTAAATATAACCAAATTGATAAATTTCTATTATCCATCATATTGTTTTTCTTAAAAATTGATTGTTAAACGAATGTTATTTAAAATGACCCATACAAAGTTATGTAGGTATCGAATTTACGTGCATGAAGAGATGTCTGTCATATTTGTTTTTTCGTAAATTGTTTTGTTATAAATTAGGCCATTAGTTTTCTCAATTGAATTGTTTCATATTTTTCATGTCGGGGCCTTTTATAGCCGACTAAACGGTATGGGGGTTTCTCATTGTTGAAAGCCGTACGTTGCCTATAATTGCTTACATCCACTTCATTTAAACTTTGGTGGATACTTGTCTCATTGGCAATCATACCACATCTCCTTATTTTTATATAGTTTTAGAAATTTAACCCAATATTTTCATTCGGGATAGACCATAGATTTTTTAACTTTGTAATATCATATCCCCAATTCTGTACTGCTGGATTTGCTAAGAATTACTCATATATTGAGTTCAAACCATACAAACCATTTAAACATAGTACTACTAAGATAGTTTTGATCAAAAATATTTAACAGCAAACATACATGAGAAATAGTGGAGATACAACACTATAAAAATATTTTTCTCTGACCTAACTAGATGAATAAGCCATTTTTATATAATTGGAGTGTAGATTTAGAACAGTGTAGTTCTGACAAAAAAAGTGTAGAAATCTCGTATTATAGTTGTATAGGAAGATAGACGATTACACTTGGATCTCAAATATATAGATATCTCCTTTTTTTTATCAAAAATGAACCTTTATAGCTTGCTGTTAAGTGTGAGCCAAGGCTCCGTGTTGAAGACCGTACTTTAACCTATAATTGTTAACTTTTTATACATTGTGACTTGGATGGAGAGTGGTCTCATTGGCACTCATACTACATCGTCTTATTTATATATAACACTATACGCTTTACACGACGTTATGTAAAATTAGACATTCATTTTTGAAGGTTCTGTATACGCTTCAGGCGTATATTTTGTATTGCAAAATGTGTGCTTGTAATAGTCACTTGCACTCTAAAACATCCCCTTATTACGATCGGACATGGTTTCGTATTTTCCACAAACAGCCAATAAGACTTCCCAATTTAGATAAGTTCTTACTTCCGGGTAGGAAAAGACCACGTAACCACATGTTTATATAATCCGTTAAGGTGTTTTTGTCGTTGTTTTATTTTGCATCCAAAATAAAAATCAGAAGTTTCATACCAAGCATCTAGTTGTATTTGCAAATAAGTATTTTAAATACGAATCAAATATGATGCACATGAATGCAGCTTAGTTATAATCTTATTAAGTAAATGGTATATTTCAACAGAAAAATCGGACCCAACACTTCAGTTGCAAATTTGGTTATTTTTAATTTTGGCAAATTAAATTATATTCTCCAACGCAGTCATATAGATCGATCCTGACACTGTTTGAACGCTGTGTTATCGAAAGCACAAGAAGCATCGTTCTTTTAGCTAAACGTTTCCATAGGCATCAACTCGTTAAACTGTTTGTTCTTTTCTTATTAGTAACGGATACATTTGAACCGAAATTACCACCGACAGAGTTGATGCAATTAATTTAGCAAGATAACGATAACGAACTCCGATTAAAAAACAGATCCTTTGTTTAAGCATTTTTACAAGGATCTGATAACACTCGGTTTTACTTTCTGTTCTCGTAATAATTACATCAGCCAACGAAAGTTCAGCCTTAAAATTTGTAAAGGTGTGTACTTATCCGACAAAACTAGAGTACTTAAACGGTCTTTAAAACAGAAAGTAGAACGGATCGTTTTCAGATCCTTGTGTGTAAAGCTTAGACACAGAGGATCTGTATTGTAATCAGATTGACGAGAACGCAAATTTTCAAACCTAAAATGAGGGTTTTATGTACATGCGAATTATTTGCAATTGCTTTTTAAAAATATATTCAAATGAAATAAACACCCCTTTAGGTCAAACTTTGTTAAGAGACATTGTTATACTTTACTATAGTAATCAATAATAGAATAATCAACAAAGAGTTACCTCATTGTCCCTCGGGAGACTACTTATTCGCAAAATTACCGAGTCTGAATGTGCACGCAGTAAAATGACCGCCACTTTTACGCCTAAGCAAAATATATGTTTGGGAATGCACACGTAGAAAATAGTACCCCTTTAAATTTTGCTCGGATTTGCACGTCGAAGAAGAAATAAATAGTTGTCTTTGGTGAAAATGACGTAGGGCCATAAGCATGATAAGGTTTGGTTGCAGTTCTGATATTGACATGGCAAATATTCTACAGCAAAAAAAAACTGTAAAACACAAAACATGTATAACCTCAAATTAAGTTTAGTAAAATCATACAATTATAACCGTTATTAAAATTTACTATCAAAATTATCAAATCTTGAAAAGATTATTTTCCCTCCGTCCTGTGAACTTCTAAAAATAACCTTTTCTCGATTTAATTATTTCGGGTCTTATCATTTGATGAATTTTTATTGTTTCTTCTGAGATGAATGTTTACTTTCAATAGAATAAGAAAGGGAGAACAAGTTGAGCCAAAAACATAAGCTGTTGATTGTCTAATACAAAATGATTGTAATAACAAAAATACCAACTCCAAGTTGAGTTCATAAAAGGGAAGTCCGTATTAATTCACTTAACTAAAAGCTCGACTATATCAACCAACGACTGACTGAAAAGCTCGACTATATCAACCAACGACTGACTGAAAAGCTCGACTATATCAACCAACGACTGAATGAAAAGCTCGACTATATCAACCAACGACTGACTGAAAAGAAAACTGTCATATTCTTATTTTGGTACCTGAATTTTCATGTGCACATATTTTTATCCTTTCGGAACATATGAGTGAGCCAAAAAATTTCAGAAGGGTTATTTTTGCTATTTGTACTGTGTATGTTTGTTTTCCGGAAAGCTGTCTGTTTTCTGTCTTAATGTAAAAGAGGGACGAAAGATACCAGATGGACAGTCAAACTCATAGATCGAAAACAAACTGACAACGTCATGGCTAAAAATAAAAAGACAAACAGACAAATAATAGTACAGATGACACAACATAGAAAACTAAAGACTAAGCAACACGAACCACACCAAAAACTGGGGGTGATCTCAGGTGCTCCGGAAGGGTAAGCAGATCCTGCTCCACACTTGACACCTGTCGAGTTGCTTATGTTATTACAAATCCGGTAAATAGTCTAATTCGGTAAGTCACATTCGTGAAAAGGGAAGGGTATTGTAGTTGCGACATAAGGAACATATCCGATATCATCTGTGAAACGGTTATTCCATAACGGTCAACCAACTCGTGTAAACTATGATCAACTGTTTTTTTTTATATCTCCTTCCTTTTGTTATCTCATTTTCAAAATACAATGAAACAACGAAAATGGGTAAAATTAACATGTATGCAAAATAATAACAGATAGTATCCTATGTCTATGCTGCTAGCTTCTAATCAGGTTATACGACGGGCGGCGCATGTGAATAAAGTTTTGTGTACCCTTCTAGAGCACATAAAATTATCCTGTTTGTATTTAGAATTCTGTCAAAATAATTATTCTTTTTTTGTGTAATGTTTTGTGGATTGTTGGTTTTCTTTTCATCCTTTTTTTTTCTTCAGCCTGTGACTTTTTATTTTGTGTCCTCTGTTACTTTAAATATATTCAATTATCAAATAGTCACATATTATTTTATACATGTGTACCATACTAGCAAAAAGATGTAACCAAATATTAAAATGATCAACGTTCTTACCAAATATTTTAACCTTGTGTTATTCCTGTAAACATGTCACAGTATAACTAAAATCTCATAAATGATATTAGGTTTATAAATTTGTACACCAGACGCGTGGTTCGTCTACAAAAGATTCATCATATAATGATCATATTTATTACATGGTAGCCACTTCATACGCAATGCACCTTCAACTTTATGATTTTATATAGGACAACATATTATTTATGGATTCATAAAAACTAAAATATGAAAATATAAATGCAATTTGTCATTTAAATTAATGCATGTTAAAACGACATGGTTTCGCTAACTTAGATCTTTAGAAACCAGACAAAATCGTCAGATCTGTAATTTTACCAATTGTGACATTTTAATTGATATGCACGATGTGTTCATAGCAGGAGAAGCTTAGTTTAAACTTTTTGTAAATTACCACGGACGGTTTACTAAGTTACGACGGAGAATTCAATTGATAACCTACATGAGGTCTGGAGCTGGCATGTCAGTAACTGCTAGTAGTCCTTTGTTAATTTATGTATCATTGTCATTTTGCTTAGTTTCTTCTGTTTCCTGTTCTACATTGGACTCGGACTTCTTTTAAACTGAGTTTAACTGTGCGTATTGCTGTGTGTTTGTTTATTCTACATTAGCTAGAGGTATAATGGGAGGGTTCAGATCTCAAAATACATGTTTAACCCCGCTGCATTTTTGCACCTGTCCCAAGTCAGGAGCCTCTGGCCTTTGTTAGTCTTGTATGTTTTTTTTTTAATTTTAGTTCATTTATATGTTTTGAAGTTTAGTGTGACGTCAATTTTCACTGAACTAGTACACATTTTTGTTTTGGGGTCAGCCGAAGCCCGCCTTCGGGTGCGGGATTTTGTCGTTGTGTTGAAGACCCATTGGTGACCCTTGGCCGTTTTCCGTTCTTTGGTCGGGTTGTTGTCTCTTTGACACATTCCATATTTCCATTCTCTATTTGTATAGTAATAAATTGGAACTTGACTGTGTGGAGTTGT